GATATATTTTTGTCAAATTTTTATGATATTTTCAAACATATATATTATTCAAAAATAAAAACACTATCGTTTTCTCAAAATCACATAAAGCCATATTATAACATCAGCTGAGATAAATAATAAAATGAAATATTAAAATCACGATGTATCTCGCTGCATTGCGCGAGTACGCTTCTAATAATTAAAATAATATATATATATATATATCTTCTCAATATTATGTTCTACATATATATTTTCTCACTCTTTTTCCAAATATGGAGATTTCTCCATTCTTTTTTCTTTTTTTTTTCTCTATTTTAGAGGAGAATTTAACATAGTTATTAAAGTAAAGTTTTTCCTAAATTACAAAAATTTCTAAAATAACATAGTTGTTGAATATACTCAAACTTCTCTCTTTTTGTTTTTTTATTTTAACATACAATTTGCCTGACTGTTGGAGCAAAAAGAATTTCTAAAATCTCTAATTTAACATAATTATTTTTGTAAACTTATCATATGGTTTATATATTTTCCAAAAAAACATTGCAAACCATATAAAAACAGGATGATAGCATCTTCAACTAATTTCTCAAAAAAATTCCGAAATGAAAAATAAAACTTCAGAATCTCTAAAATAAAAATACATTAAACTCCAACAAAATTCATTTTTAGAGAATAAAAGATCGATTATATTATTAAAATATTGTATTTGTCTGATAAAATATTATTTTCTCTTTCTAAATATTTAATTTCAAAATTTCTTTTTGGTCGAAATATATTAAAAATATTTTTTTATCATTGTAATCATTTTTGTATGTTCTTCAAATTTGAAGATTTTTTACACTCTCCTTTTTCCAGTTTTGAGAATCTTTTTGAGGAAAAAAAATATTTCTCAAGATCTCTTAGAGCATCTTCAATAGATTTTCCAAAATAAAGAATCAAAAGTTAAAAAATCACATCGTCGATCGCAGATGATATTTCCTTCAACCATAGCATCAGTAACCAAGATTCATAAAACCAACGATCATACCAGCTATGATCGTGAGTATCTTCAACAATAGGACCCTCAACTCATGGACGAGGATAATTTACCTTCAACCCTTGGTCGACGACTACATAATTGTTATCTTCAACGACGATATACTAACAACTTACATCGACCTTTACATATGGTTTTATTGCAGGAATAAAGACACATGCGATCAATAACTCAGAAGATCATAATGTCAAAGCTAAGATTCAAGGCAATTCATTACAAACGGTTTTCTTCATTCAATGTCAATCATAGTCGACCGTTGGCTCTATCCTTTTTCTTCATTCAGTGTCAATCATAGTCGACCGTTGGCTCTATCCTTACGTATCAACCATAAAAGGCTAGAAGATGACCATAAACATGACCGGAACCCTCAAGAGCTCACTCATGCGCAAAGATTATTCATATAAACACATTGTTATTTACTATTTTCCACGTCCGACGCATTAAATTGCATATATCGTTGTAATTGTTCCAAATGACGTCCAAACTGCATTCACAATCTCATGTATCATCCGCGGGTTTTTTTCCTCGTTTTCGTGTGACCGATTCGCTTGTTCCACTGTTTATTATTTTCCCATGCTTATTTCAAGGTGGTTGATTTTTAGTTGTTAAAGTTCCATAAATAGAACTCGAGTTATATATACTTAGTGTAATTTTTGTCATAAACATTAAAAATCAAACAAATCAACTTAAAAATTAGATATTAAAATTAATTAAATACCAAACAACAACCATAATCAAACAAATAAAACGTTGTATGCTACGAAAGGTTGTTCGCATGTACCCTTGCCTACTCTAAAAACATAAACCATCTCCATTATTTATTAGACAAACACATGCCAATTCCATCAATAATTTGCAGCAAACGTTCAAATATGATGCAAAACACCTTTGAGAACATCCAATCCTTCAACCGATATGGTCCTCCGCTTCTCCGATTTCGGTACTTCGATCTTCGGTGGCGGCTCCGACGAGAAGCAAACGACGACCACCGTTAGATTATCGCAGCTATTCCTTTTTAAAGCCTCACTAACAAGTTCTCTAGAACATTTTCCAGGATCATTGTGAACCATAAGTTCTTTCCTTACTATTGTCACAGCATATTGGCTGCTCATCACATCCCACAAACCATCACACCCAAGTATCAGAAACTCGTCTTCTTTGGTTAGGGTCACCTCTTTTAACTCCGGCTCCGCGCTTAACGGGCAAGCCGAGCCTTTTGGTCCCTTCATGTGCCAGTCTCCCAGTGCCCGTGCCACAGATAGCTGACCGTTGAGGTAACCATCGTAAATCACGCCTCCTAGTTTTTCAATCCGTTTTTTCTCTGATGTGGAGCTCGGTTTGTGGTCGATAGAGAGTTCGATTGCTCTTCCTCGCTTTCCAAGAACGGCCCTTGAGTCGCCAGCATTAGCAATAATCATATTTCTGTGCAACCAACAAAAAGTTCTTTTTTTAATTAAAAAAAACATAAATAGGAATAGATTAAACGAACTCAATAAATCTTACACACAGTAGACCTGGTTTAATTCTTACCTTCCTAATATAAGAACAGTCAAAGCAGTTGTTCCAGATGAATTATCCAAAGAACTAGTATCTGCTAATGCATGATCTGCTTTGACAAAAGCATTCTTGACAGCTTTCTTCACCCCATTTGGGAAATTAGAGTCCTCGACGATAAACTCCAGAATGTTTCGCTTCGTGAATGATGCCGCATCAACTCCACCGTGCCCATCAAACACCTGAAATAATCAACATCTGTTTTAGAGTGGTTAATCTGGATCTGTAAGGGTGCGTCTGGTATGCAGGGCAATACAGGACATGACAAAACAAAACGTGTTATCTCACGTTGAGTGCAACCATTTAAATAGAACTGAATGGGACAAAAATGTATTTTTTTCTCACCCACCAAAATAGGTGGAACAAGAATTAGGGAGAAGAGAGAAGTTTGGTAAATTATGTTTCCTCAGAAATTTGGCCCAATATTTGTGTTCATGAGCTCTATTAAGTGTAAAAAATGAGAGAACTTGAAGAATGTGAGTACCCCATAAAATGCTCCAGTCAAAGGAAGATCCAGTTTTGCATCTAAATGTTCTTGAAGATCATCGACACAGATAAATTCATCCTCCATATATGGTTTTGGACCTATCTCAGAACAGCTTCCTGAGCGAAATGCAGGTAAAGATGCAGAACTTAAATCCTGTGGTGAATCCGGCCCAGAAATTTTGTCCTGCAGTTTCTAAGAAAAGCAGACGAGAATGTTAGAAATTCTGAAAGATTGAAAACTAGTGATCTTCGTCTCAGCTCAAGAAAACTCTTCAGGACATAAGAAGCACATGATCATATGCATACAGAAACGTCGAAACTACACATGGCCTACAAAAACAGTAATGGCTTGCCATATGGAAAATAGAAACCAAAATCAAACTATTTCTCGTGTTCCATGGTATAAAAATCATGTCTTGAAAACTAGAAAGAATGTGATATAAGCATTCATGGCCCGTGGGAATTCTCTTGGTTGTGATCTTCAGGAGATTAGTCAAGGTGAAGCTAGCCCGGATGGCCACGGTTACCCAAATATCAAATCCTCATTTTGAGGAACCACCTTTCATGCCTTCCCATATAAGGGATCAAAGGACCCTGTTACACAGTTCATGTTTCAAAAATATGATCGTAGACAAAATTGTTTCCATTTTGATTCTTCAAAATTAGAAGTCTGAAAGTTGGTTTTGCAATATTAAAGCTGATGAACATTGAATTGATTCACCAAAAAGGGCGTGTGGGTAGATTTACTCACCAAATTAGAGGTGTCAACCAATAAAGCCTCGCTGATACTATGTCGCACTGGTGGGCCATTTCTGGGAGGCTTAGCATAGTTTGGCTGGGTGACATTATCCAAATCATCATCAGGCTCCTCATCTTCTATCATAGCAGGCATGCATTCCCTTGAATACCCATTATCCAATGAGGTACAATGAGGCCACACATCAGTCCCAGGTCCCATTCCCCCCTCTCTTTTTCAGTCATTCCATCAAACACCTTGTATGCATACAAAATAACTTATTCCCCTATGAACAACCCATTTTGGTTTCTATCGCATTTAAATATTCTCATCGCAGTTTCTTGCTCCATAAACAAGAACGCTATCCCAAGAATCGAATTTTTTACATAAACTTAAACCGTAGCCTTCCATTTCTCGGAATTCGTAAAGGATCAAGCACACCCACATGCCAAAAATGGTTAGATTCTTAATCAAATTCAATCTTTTTAATTCAACGAACAATGCAAACCAGATGTATCAATCAAAATTATGAACAACCCAGCAACGGAAAGAGAGAATGTTGCAAAATTGAAGAAGAAAATGATGAATAAGATGGAGAGAGGTGAATCAATTAACGGAAGAAAGTAGTAGGAGAGGGAGGCCCATTGAGAGCGCTTTTTCGTGTGTGCATGCGTGTAAAGTACCAAGATTGGATCCATTTTCCATTAATGGAGGTCAGTCCTGCGTTCCAGAATAAACATAACAATTTCTGTATTATTTTTAATTTCTAAAAATAAATCCTAACAATTTTATCTTTGATGAGGGCACACGTGATACGTCCCATTTTGAGGTTTAACGTTAAAAAACAAAAAGAAGCAATAATGGTTATAAATAACAATAATAAAATCAAATAATAAATAACAATAATAAATTCAAATAATAAAAAGATGTATGAACCACATATAATTTAACAATAAAATCACATGTGATTCATGTGACTTTTACCTTGACCTAAGGTCACAAATCACGTCGTCTGCATACTCTTACATTGACCGTTAGTGTAAAATCATATTTGATTTTGCATGTGATATAGTTATTTTCGTGTTTTCTTGTTTGATTATTGTTCTTGTTTAAACATCCCCTTTATTCATATTTAACTTAATACATATAGATTAAAAAAGTCATCAACTTAGCATTTTTATGTCATAAAGATATTGTAAACTTTTTATACAAGTATCAGTCTGTTTTAACTGGGAAGGGCTCGAACGAGAACATATGTGATTTACGTAAATGCAAGAACACTTATAAGCTTATCATCATGTTTTACGTCACAAATTTTGAATGAGTGTGGGAACAATAAAATACTATGAGTATTTACAGTTTTTTAAGAATATCGAAGGCATGCAGGGGTAAAAATGAAAAAGAACTGCAAATCACATAATCAACAGATAGAGCCAATAAGTGTATACATGATCATCACTGGTTTTCGATTTATCACATCATTATTAAAGCAAAATCACATCATTATCACAATAAAATCACATAATAAGAAGTATTTGGTTTATCAGTATATTATCATTGTTATCACATCGTTCATCATTATCATCGTCCACCATAGTTTTTGACCTCATCTTGCAACTTCACTTGGTGCAGGTCATGTTCATAATCATTGATTATTACGTTAGATAGAAGTAACTATTATATCATATGATAGTGTCTTAAGAAATATGTTATCGTGTTCCAAATTATTTAAAAAGTAATTAGTTTTTAAAATAAGTGGATTACAAACAAAATAATTTTATTTTAAAACTCAAAAACTAATATAAATCTAATTTATAATACAAATAATAATGAAAAAAGACATTTCAAATTAAAAAGTTATCGTACAGATACAGAAACTTCAAAATTAATGATTATTTTGTAAATATGAAATTATGACACTAAAATAGTGCAAACAAACGTCAAAATTTAATATTTTATTGTTTATTACATCATTTTAATGTTGAAAATAACTGGCTTAGTCATGTTATATTTAAATACCTGAACACTCATTTTTTTTTTACCGAAAATGTTAAATTTACACTTTCGTTAGAATAACATTGATTGTTTTCAATTAGCCAAGCTAAATTGTAGTGCGTTTATATATTTGACATGTATTTATTAAGGGTCGGGTTCTCTGTCTTGTGAGAATGAAAGTTATAGTGAAAAGTGCAAGAAGGGATCTCCATTATTGAATAAATCTAATTGAAGAGAACAATTAGATCAACACTAATGAGATACACTATATCAATTCCCTTGTGTAGCACAACTTATGAGTTGTTTTGGGATTAAAAATGATCAATGGTCCAAATCTTTTCTTATTACACTTTTTACTGTAACTCTTATTCTCACACGATCATTTATTTATTTATCAGTTTATCATTTAACTATGTTCATTTTTGTGTATATTAATTAACTTAAGTAGATTAGTTAATTCTATAACTAGATATTTTATCTAAATATAATATTTTTTTTAAATTAATTAATTGTATTAAATAAAATAAAAAATATATTTTATATCTTATTATACCAACATATTTAGTTTTACAAGCGTTAAAATTATTAAATAATCAACCAATTAAAACAAATTTTAGATCAAAATAAAATTTTAATTAAGTTGAAATGAAATTCACCATAGTGTGCTAGGGATTGTTTGGAAGTTGCTAAATGGTTTGGTGTAGAATAATTAAGTAGTCAGAATGATTAAGAGACTCTCATGATATAGTGTAAAGTGAAATATAATTGTTTGGTAATTTTTTACAATGAAATTAGAGCGCTGAATGGTTAAGTGATGTCCAAGATACAAAATTATTCAGAGGGTTTTAGAACCATTAAAAGACAAATTTTTTTTTATCAAACAAGATTCATCTTTTAACGATTCAGATGCTACCTCTTAATGAAACTATTAAGAAGTAAACAAACAACATGATCATAGGTTATTTTAACACATCATTTATGTATTTCACACATCGATTGAATGGTATTTATTTTTTTATTTCCAATTGTATTATTATTTGAATTATGGCTAGTGGTTCTTAATATTGAACTTGAATACCAAAAACCAAAAGCGACATTATTATTGACGACAAAAATATCAATCTCAAAAACAGCATTTAGGGGCCGTTTACCGAGCACTTACCCGGGTGAGCGCTTACCAAGCCACGTTATCTCACCGGATGAATATGATAAGGACCAAGAATCTTATCCGGTAAGAACGAGACAAGGACCATGAGTTTTACCCGATAAGTAAGGGCGACGACTCTTACCATGGTAAGCGCTTACCGGGTGAATTGTTGCATACAATGTCGTTTTGATGGATTAGAATCTTACCCGGTAAGTAAATAATAGTGTTAAATTTTACCGGTAAACACTTACCGGGTAAGTATTTAGTAAATGACCCTTTAGTGAAGCAAAATGTCGATAAATATAAAGGTACCAAATGTTTGAGGTCACATCATCGGAAGCCTCTTATCTTTACACAATCTTTTTCGATATATAATTCTATACCATTTTAAAAAAAAATTAAATATAAACAGTTCGTATTAAGGGAAATATATTTTAACAATAAATATCAAGTTCGAACAGAGGAATTTCTTCGAATGGTCTGTGTATTTCCTTTGTTTTCATAGACACACACAAGGACCGTATCAAATGAACTAAAACTCTAATCGGGATTCGATTTGTGATCGATACGGTTGGAGAATCCTAAGAGGGAAATTGAACAAAATCTCATTTTCGTTTAATTTATGAACGACTAAAATGTATGTTTGGTTTACAGGGTTTGATAGAATTTGGAATGAAATTCCATTTTTTAGTCTTATGTTTGGTTTAAATGCTTAAATTTGAAATTCCACAAACATGAGATTTAGAAATTCCATGGAGGTACTTGGAATTTCTCGAGATTACATAAATTTTCTTTGTAATAAATGTTTTAGAAATATATTAAAAAAAAACACTTGATTTGTAATAATCAGTTAATAAAAAACTAATTTAATTATTCTTATGATTTGTTTTTATAAAAAATTAAAACTATATATGTTTCAATTAATCAAAGTTCTACAAAGTAGACGTATCAAAAATTCCAAATTCAACCACAAGGGTGGTGTCTGATTGGTTTAAGCTTGGCTTCAAAGGTCAAAAGTACCTGGAGGTCCAAAGTTCAAATCCAATGAGGAATAAAAATCCTTTTGTAGCCACAGAGGTTCAAATGCGATGACTCCAGGCTTTCTGCAAAGTAGGTGATCGTGCTGAGATTAATCGGTTCGCATAGCGGGTTGGATATCTAGATTAATAAAAAAAAATCAAATTCTTCCAATTCTAAATACTACCAAGCATAACATTGTCATTGGTTGTTTTTTTTTTTCCTAATTCTATAAAATAATAAAATTAATATTTATTTTTTAAAACTTTAGCAACAAATTAAATATACATGTCGTTTGTGGACATGAAATATTTATAGTAAATATTGTCCCCCACATAAATTAAACAAAAATAATAATACATTAAATACATTTAATTGTTAATATTATAGATAATAAATAGACTGTCTAGTTATTAACAGTCGTGGACTCATAAATCAATCAATTCGCTAAAAGGATATGTATAAGTTTGTATCTACTTGCATTATTGTTCGGTTCCGATTTTATCCTTTGGCAACAGGTCCGTTCCTGACATTTTATAGGTCCTGGACGAATGTAAAAACAGGGCCCACTGCAAGAAACAAGACTTGTAGCAACAACTTTTGTCGTCGCTAAAAGTCCATTTATCATCAGAAAGAGTATATACCAACATGTCGTCGTTATAATTTATGGTGGAAACATGTCATCGCTAAAAGGCGCATCGTCAAAGCTCACTTTTCTTGTAGTGACTCTCGGTAAGTACGAAAAAAAAATTCAATAGATGTCTTTCATTACTATAAAATTGAGTACAAAAAATGATAATAATTTATTGAGAAAAAAAAATTATTTATCTTATTATAGGTATATAAGAGAGTACTTAGTTTTTTTTTTTTTTTTTTGATTAACCTGGATATCCAACTCGCTATGCGAGCCTACTAATCCTAGGGCAACCACCTGCTTTGCAGGTATCCCAAAGTCACTGCATTTGAACTTTCATGGCCACAAGGGGATATTTGTTCCTTCTTGGATTTGAACATGGGACCTCCAGACACTTTTGACTTTTGAAACCAAACTCAAACCAATCAG